CCTTTTTTTTTTGTTTGTTAGAGAAAAAAAAAAAAAGGGGGGGGGGGGGGGTTTGCCTTAGGCCTGTCATTTTGTAAATTATCTGATAAATAAGTTTAGTGTTTGGGTGGGATGGGTGTGATAGAGTTTTAGGTTCAAAGGCTTAAGAAAAAGTTTACTCTTTTCTATTGAGCTGAGTAAAGCAGTTTGTTCTTCCAGTCATGACATTCTAAGTTATGAAAACAATCAAACCTGTTACCCAGTTCTGTTTTAAAATATTGGCCAAGAGTTTGTGATAGGTTTTGATACTTATGACACCTGAAAAGTACTTAGCTGTATCCTTAAAGTACTGTACAGAATCAAGCATAGTCATTCAGCTGTGAAAACAAACTAAGAAATTAGATTTAATAACTTTAAGCACTACAGATTGTTTAGCTAATGCTGCACTGATTATTTTTAATCTAATATGGAGGATGGCATTTTATTTTTCTCCTCCTAGTACTGCCCTATTTTAGATTGATTTAATTTGATGCATGGATCTTAAATTCACTCTCATTTCAGAGATTACATTTTCTTTAAGACTGATATTAACTAGCTTTGTTCTTAGGGGACTGATTCTTTTGTACTGTTAAAAGTAGAATGAATGTGTGTCACTTTAGCATTTAGCATATAATCGTGACCTTCTCTGCTAAGCATATACAAGGAATATTTTCACATGCTCATCCTTATGGATGTAGAAAGTTCAGAAGATAGAGCAATGATTTTGTTTTAATTTGTATATCAAGTAAATACAGTTTAAGTGAGGTTCATATTTAAAACTAATCACAAGTGAAAAGAAAGTACCGTGCACGTAGCACAAGTGACAAAGAGCCGTATTCTGGAACCACATTGAATGTGCGTCTAAATTATTGCGATGACTTGGTTTCTCTGGAATGACTTAACACAACTGCAGTTTATTGCAAGACCAATGTGATCAGCTTAAGAATAAAGTTCAGGTAGCCTTATTTAAAAAACAACAGAAGCAAACAACGAAACAGAGAAACTAACAAAATGAATTTAGCTAATTTCTGTAGTTCTGCATCCTCGGGCATAGTAATAAAGTTGGATTTCTGTGCATTACTCCCTCCTTAGAGCCTAGGAGTAAAGAGGTATTAAATTATTAATATTGAGCTTTGAGTTATTGCTGAAGGTATCTACCATGTGTGCCATTGCAGGGCTTTCTAAATGTTGGGCTTGTAGCATTGCTGAGAAAAGTTTCCTGGTCACCTGGTGTTACTTTCCCTTGAGGGTGGTTTGTGCAAAATTGCTTTAAATAGAATGTTTGCAGATAACCCAATAGCTGTTTGGAACCCCAAGGCAAACTGAGAACACCCCCACCCCTTTTTTTATTGCCAATTCTGAATGTTCCGGTGGTGAAAGCCTGCTGGAGGGGAATTTTGGTTGTCCAGGAGAGCTTTCTATGAGACCTTGTTTCAAAACAGACAATAGGCTGAAATTATTTTAAAATATATTAAAACAGCATTTGATTCAATCTAATATTTTTTGGCCTTTGATGCTGAAAAAACCAATTTATTAACATTCCACTGGAAAACATTCTGAATTGTAACCTTTCTGATTTATCCAGTAAATTCAGGGTATTCTCCACACAGAGATATCCTTCTCATGGTTTAGGTAAAGCACAGATTTATCCCGTGTTGTTGGAAATTCCATACTAAAAAGCTATACAAATACCCACTTAACTGTACAAGAAATGACACAAGAGAGGCCATCTCTGCAACACGATTAATTTACTTTTCCTAGTAAGAAGCTGGATTTACAAAATCTCTTAGAATTGCTAGTAGAAATACTTGTTTATCTGTGCCAATTAGTTACATGTGAACTCCCACATTCCTGTGGTCCAGACTAGGCCAGGTACAAGGGACAAGGTCCTTGCCAAGCTGCCAGTACAAACATCTTTTTGTAAGCTTACTCTTTTTCAGACAAGCCATTTAAAACAGACTATGGTATTGACTGTAGATTAGAGGCATAGTGTTTGGCAGATCCCTGAATTTTAAAATGGAGGAAGGCAAAACACGCAAAGGAAATATGGAAATGGTATCTGAGAAATTCGGTGTCAGCAGCTTAGTAGTAAAATTGTATGGATAATACCTCATTATATAGCGCTGTAACCTTTTACATACTTTGTAGAGTAGTACTAATAGAAATAACAAACCCTAAAAACAACTGATAGTTGCCAAGACAGACAGAAGCATATGTCTTTAGTCAGGATAAAAATCTTTCTGAACTTATTTTTTACTGGATCTGGACATTTTTAGCGTAATCACAGTAATAATCATAGTAAATTGAAAGTAGTTTAGTTACAAAGACTTAACCTTTAAGAAACATCTGAAGAAAATAGGGGACGTATGACTGGAATATCTGCAAACAGCTGTGTTTGTTTCTAGCCGCCAGAATCAACTTAAAGATCAGCAACACCAGCAGCAGCAGCAGGTAGTGTCCCTGTGTCAGCTTCCAGATGAGGCAGAGTGCCTGACTGTGCCAAGGTACAAGCGAGACCTAGTGCAGAAACTCAAGATCCTGAGGCAAGAGCTGTCACAGCAGCAACCTCAAGCTGGCCATTGTCGTATTGAGGTCTCCAGGGAAGAGATTTTTGAGGTAATTTGAGAATTTGACCCATTTCTTAATATCGAGGGAAGGGGAGGAGGGTTGTACATAACTGCCTGAAGGAGTCATTCAGTTAGATGAAATCTTGAAGTCCGGAGATAAAGGTGGGATTTTACCGGTGGCAAATGGGAAGAGGAAGCATTTCAAGGGGACGTTAGGAACAGTCGTGGACTTAAAGTAGCTGTATTTACGCTGGAGAGAAGAAGAAAACCGAGGAAAGCTTTCCCGGTGGCTGGAGGCATACAGACTGTGTCAGGGACTGAGGAAGAAGTCCAAGCGCTTTGTGTGTTTGAAGATACTGTCTCACTTCTTCCTTGAATAGACCAACGCTAATGTTTGTTACAGAGGGAATGTTACAAGTTGAAAACCAAGCAACTATTCATGATCTCTGATCTATTGTAACTTAAGTACAATTACTATGGAATTGCATTCATCTTTGGGGTTTGGATTACTTAGCATCTATCTCAGTTCTGGTTGATTCTTTGTCCTCCCGTCGGCGTCCCCTGCCCCCCCAGTCAGACCAATTTTATGAATTGTCTAGGCTTCTGAATGACCAGAGATGCCCACAGTGGGATGTCTGCATTGTACTTTGTGACATTATTCAGCAGACTGTCACAGAATAATTCTGCTGAATTGATGAAACACAGTTACAATTCACTGGCTTTTGCAGGAGAACAGTCTGTCGTTTTGAGAACTTTATCACCCATCCCACCCATCCCTCTTGCATTTTTACCCCACCCACAAACTTGATAGCCCCGCTGTGTTGTCACAATTTTTCCAGCCAAGACAGATTTGTGTTGGTCTTCCCTTTGGAGACAGTCAAATCACTTCACAATCAGCAAAAAAAGAAAGGGAGGAAAGGCTGCTGTACAGCAGTGAAAATTATTATGTTCTTGATCTGAAAATGTTGGGTCCCAGGCACAGCTGCCTCTTCAGTTCTGCAAAGCCAAAGATTGGGGCACCAACACTGGACATGAATAAAAAACTAGACTTTTTTGATTTAATTCCCTTTTTAAAATTAGCATTTGTTTTGTCTCTTTCAGTTTTCTTTTTGTGTTTTCTTGGTGAAGTCTTACTGATAGAGGAATAATTCTGTAGATTTACCAGGATGGCATTGATGCTTCTGTTTCTTAAGATGCTTCCTGAAGGTTTGCATGGGTGTTATAGCCAGAATAGAAGCTTCACTGTTGGCTTCTCACACTGCAGAAATTGTGAGCCTTTATGGAAAACAAAAGGAGTTTACTGACACTTTTTTTTTTTTTTATGAAGTATGTGAGAATGAGAGAGAGAATGTTCTGATCACTGCACACCTCTGGAAATTTAACGAAGGTGGTTCTTCTCACATATGTTTTATTTGACAAGTGTTATTACGTTTGTAGAAAACCAAGTTACACTCTGTGAGCTGAGAAAGTGGTTGGTATCTAGGAAAATAGTATCCCCTTTAATAGGATCCCCTTTGGACTCGGAGTCTGGGACTCCGTTTCTGATAAACAGTAGTAGCTTCTTGTCTGTAAATAGCAGTTAATAAAATAAAGTGTTATGTGTTCACAGGAATCCTACAGGCAAGTCATGAAGATGAGGCCAAAAGACCTGTGGAAACGATTAATGATAAAATTTCGTGGGGAGGAAGGCCTTGATTATGGAGGTGTTGCCAGGTAAACAGGCTCTTCCCCCGCACTCCAACCCCACCAACTACACCTGTGCTTTGAGTCCTAAACCAGCCTTGTATCAGCCCTATGTCTTTTTTTTCATTATTCTTATTTATATTTATTTCTCTAACAGGTTGTATGTTAGAAGAATATATTTTCAGATAGTCTTTTAAAGGAAAAACTACATCAAAAAATAACGAATTTATTGTAAATAAATCAAAATGCATGTTATAGATTGCATCAGACAGACATCTATCATACATGCAAGACAGGCTTTTGGTATCTGTTGAAATTGCTGTAATTTTCTTCATTTAGTAAAGCTTGGATATGTGAGAATTTACATCATTAACTACTCCAGCTTTGTGGCAGAACTTTGATTTAAAAATGTGCATCATTGCAGATTATCACTACTGTCTGAAGCATAATGTTAAAAACTAGCAGTCAGTAGGCAACTAAAGTCTGTCAGTAGTAGGAGGTTATTTTTCACTTATAAAAAGTGACATTTATTGATTGTATAAAGATATTCTTCGTATGTTAAAACAGCATTAGGAATTGTATTGGCCCATTGCACAGGTGCCGCTTCACTGGAAATACTCCCCATCTCTGGCATGTGGATATACTCGCTGAATGAGTGTTGACTCGTTTAGGAGCATTCATTGTTTGTTTTGCATTGCATTTTTTTTTTACCATTAATACTGATTTCAAAAATACAGACAATGCTACCAAACACCCCGTCTTCTGCATCTGTAGTTGGTGTGTGGCAGGTGACCTCAGGGACCAAGGCTGTGATGCTGCGTCTGGCTTCATGAGTTTGCAAATGGCCAATAGGGTTTTCACTTCATCCGTTACTAAATATAGTAACATGCTGATTAGCCGAACTAGTAAAACTGTCTTGTTGCATCAATTACTGTTGACAATGATACTGTTGATGATGATAATAGTGTTTAAAATAAAGAAGCTGCAGGTGGTGTTGTGCACTATTTTCCAAAGTGTCTGCTAGTATTTTTCAGCATGGGTTTTGTTTCTAGTCTGGATGCCGTGGAGCCTTCGTCGTTTTCCATACATGAGTACGAGAAGACCAAGATAGAAAGTGTTAACAGCTTTCCCAGTTCTTAGACCATTATTTACTGATTTGTGAACATTTAATGAAAACTCTAAATATATCCATTACCTGAAGACGGTTTCTGTTAAAAGCTGTGACCGAACAGCTCTGTAGCATAGTCAATAGAATGTGTAGTATTTTGTCTTAGTGTGTAATGTATGAAGGAGAATCTCTTGGCAATAAGTAATCTGGAGAAAAATCATGCAAAGCTGAGAAATAGGTCAGCTGCCAGGTGCTGTGCAGTTACTAAGCCACTAAAAATAATTCTTATTTCAGCCTTATCTGAGCATGTTCAGAGAGAACTTTCTTCATATTTATGTTTAACAGTAAGATTTAAAAAAAAAAAATCATACTATTTTGAAAAGATTCTCAGTGTAGGAATGATTTTGTCTAAAGTACGCAATAAATCATTTTCTTTTCTTCAGGGAGTGGCTCTACCTACTGTCTCATGAAATGTTGAATCCATATTATGGTCTCTTCCAATATTCCCGAGATGATATCTATACATTGCAGATCAACCCAGACTCTGCAGTCAACCCGGTATGGCTGGTAACACAGTTCTGTAAATGATCATTTTGTGACTAGAAATTAAATACGTCTGGAGAACTTTCTAGACTTAGGAACCTAATTCTCACATTAGTATTGCTAGAGACTGAATTTGTGCAATAATATAACTTCTTTTTAGTACTGATCAAAGAAACTTCTCAAATGTGTTCTTAATTTTCTGTAAGATGCTGATTTATGTTTTCTTTGGGAGAAATTAAGTTTATTTTGATTCTTAGTAGTAAGACTTCTGGACCGGAAGCAATATACTTAATGTGCTGTGTATAAAAACAAACAAAACAAAATGCTCTGGATATGTTGGGGTGGGGTTTTTTTCTTTTCTTTGTATTGAAATTTTATTTCGTATTCAGCAGATATAACCTGGAGGTCTTATTTAACTGAATGGCTTAGTGTCTCCTTTCAATTCTAGGAACACTTATCGTATTTCCATTTTGTTGGACGGATAATGGGGATGGCTGTGTTTCATGGACACTATATTGATGGGGGCTTCACATTGCCTTTCTATAAGCAGTTGCTAGGGAAGCCAATTACTTTGGATGATATGGAATTGGTTGACCCTGATCTTCATAACAGCTTAGTCTGGATACTGTATGTACCGTGTATTGTATCTTACAATGTTAGCATTCTGTCTTATTTAACATGTGATAATGTTTCTAAATCCAGTTGAAAGAAATTAAGTATATTTTGATCTCGGGCTCAGGCAGATTTAAGAAACATCTTTCTTGCGCAATTCAGCTTCTTTAAAGGCTTAACATGCTCAAGGTATTCACATTACTGAGCTGTAAAGCACTCAGTTCATAAATTTTAATTTATTAATTTTGCCTATTATTAACAGTAACAAGTTATTAAAATATAACATTGAAAAATTGATAATGGTTTTAAAATACAACATCGTAAAAATCTCTGTTCACCTTTGCTTCCAAGCAGTAATTTGAAATGCTATTGAAAAACTAAATTGTGATGTCTGTCAGATATATTATGGTTGTAATATATTTGCAAAATGTTTTCACTGAGTCACTTGCTTATTTCTTTGTACCAGTGAGAATGATATCACAGGAGTCTTGGACCATACGTTTTGTGTAGAACACAATGCATACGGGGAAATTATTCAACATGAACTGAAACCCAATGGCAAAAGCATCCCTGTGACAGAGGAAAACAAAAAGGAATATGTCAGGTACATCAATATCTGCTCCAAAGGTTTTTTTTTGTTGTGGGGTTTTTTTTATTTCCTATGGTGGGGAGGAACTTTTACTTATTTGAGGTAACTGACAGTGTCATGTTGTTGTTTGTAGTTTCTAAGTTGTAGTGCAATGGTGGTGGTGTGTGTATTCCTGTCAGTGAGGTCTTTTTTTTTTTTTTTTTTGGCTGGATGAATTGCAGGTTTATTGTATTTGAATACATCTTTCACAAAACCAATTTGCACTTGCTTGCAGACTTTATGTAAACTGGCGATTTTTACGAGGAATTGAAGCTCAGTTTCTGGCTCTACAGAAGGGATTTAATGAAGTAATCCCACAACATCTGCTGAAGACATTTGATGAGAAAGAGTTAGAGGTCAGTCCGCTAACGTTACGTTATGTCGTCAAGTGTAACAATGAAAGCCCGAGGCATTCTTCTGAGACTGAGTAACATGGGAAGTTGTATCCCCAGTGCTTTAGGGGTTTGCAGGTGCACTCTTGCAAGAAATACAGTTAGCGTAAGAGGTTACCAGGTCACGCAGTCACAGAGACTGGATGTACCTTCCTCTGAGAGCTACCAGAGTGTTTCTCAAGGCAACATTGCGTAGCAACTGCAGAAGTGGTAGCAAACAACCCTCTCGTACACCTGAAAACCTTGCCGAACCTACTGAGAAGTGAGTGCGGTGACCTCAGATTGGCTCAGAGTGCTGCTCCAGCAGAGGCGGTGGTGCACGTTTCTCATGGTGCAGTTTCACGATACCAAATTCAGTGCTGCCAGGAAAACAGTCTGTCACTCCCTCCCGTCTCCCACCACTTGCTCCCTGCTCTTCCAGGGCACCTCACTGGCTCTTATGTCAGGCAGCTATGAGGTTTTGCAGGGCTCAGTTACGCCAGACTAACTTGGCCCTGTAAATACAGTGTAAGGAAAGGTGCTGTCTGGTGCTGTCACCAAAAAATGTGCTATAAAATGTCAAGAGCAGCATCCAAACAATATCCTCTTGAGGTAAATCCCATAGATCCCAAGCTTGTTTTAAAACTGAAATCTAATACAGAGTCTGTTAGCTGCGGAGCTGAGGTTTTTGCCATATAAAATGGCAACAAGGTAAATTATTCATGCTTTCTTCTGTTCACTGTACTAGAATGTCAGTGATTGCTCTTCTTTTATCCTGAATATTCTCATCCAACAGCAGTGAGCCAGCCGTACTGCTAACCCAGAGTCATTTTGCAGATGCAGAATAAGAAAGGGGAAGGTCCAATCTTCTTAGTCACTAAAAAATGTCTTCATAATCCTGTCCCTGTTGAGCTTAAACTGATCCATTGTGCATCTCTTTTAGAAGTGCTGAAAGCCCTTCATCAGGAGAGGTCTGATTTGTATTACATGTGTGGTATGGCAAGAACAAGATTACTTTTGAGGGTCCAGCGTTGGACCAGCCAAACCACACCCTGAGCTATGCTCCAGAAAGAAATACTGAGTTCAAATGGGTATTATGCACTTTCACACATGGATAGAACCTGTGCTGCTGCTGTCATTTAATTGACAGGTCAAGACACTTTCATATAAGCTTATGAAATGGTTGATTTTTTTTTTTTTTTAATTTGAATTGAGGCCATGTAAAAAACGCATTGTGTACAAAGGGAAGATTAAAAAAAAAGTTCTGTTTCTGCATTGCTTAAGACCTCTCTGGTGAGGTCTTAATTTGTCTTTGGTATAAAATCTGTCAATTTTTTATATCAGTTATTCACCATTTGGCTAGCTGCAAAACCATTTTTACACTGATCAACGGTGAAATAATTATATTCTAAATTTACAGCTCATCATTTGTGGACTGGGAAAAATTGATGTTAATGACTGGAAGGCAAATACTAGGTTAAAACACTGTACCCCGGACAGCAACATCGTGAAATGGTTCTGGAAAGCTGTGGAGTTTTTTGATGAAGAGAGGAGGGCGAGACTTCTCCAGTTTGTGACTGGCTCATCCAGAGTGCCTCTGCAGGGCTTCAAGGCATTACAAGGTAACTTTGTCCAGAGTAACCGCAGATGCCTCTGCCGGGAGGAAGCAATGGGACACATCACAGAAATATTAGCTGAAAATGAGGCTGGCTGGCTGCTATGTGACTTTTTAAGAGTGATTTTTAATGGTCTGATGAATAACAATCACAAATAGTCTTTTGTGTGTGTTTATTACCTTGTTATTCAGCTGTAAATGGATCTTTTGTTTCAGTCATGTACTTCCTTCTCTGGCAAGAAGCTCTGATCAGCAGAGATCTTAGTGAGGTTCTCCCTATGTTTGGGGTTTTTTTTTTTTTTCTTTCTTTTTTCTTTTTTTTCTTTTCCCCAAAGCTTGTTTTTAAATTTCTGTCTTTTGCAAGCCCTCATCACCTGTACAGCTCTGGGACCAGAAAACACCGACATGCAGTGTTGTTGTGATTCTGACAGCAGAGGCACTTGTAATGCTGACTACTTTTATTGTAAGAGCAACATAATCACAGGCAGCCCAGGCATCAGAAGCGATCACCTTAATTACCAACCTGTCTTGTCAACTTCAGTCAAAGCTCTGGGTCCCAGAGCAACCTGTGCTGCTCTGTTAACACAATAATTATCCTATTTCACCCTCTCACAAGATAAGAGAAAACTGCCCGGGGGAAACATGGACCATAAACCATTTTAACAGGTAGAAGATTCCAAGAGAACACAAATTCTGTGGTAACGGCTGCCCCATACAAAAGCCAGTTGCTCTAGAAATCTGCTGCTTCATTATCAGATAGAAAATGAAAAGCCCTCCCTTTTTTTCCTCTGTCCTGAGGTCTAAAATGTTCAGGAGCATTAGAAGCTCAGGAATATTGAGTTTTTTAGGACTCTAGTTGCTTTAAACAAAGTATGGTACTTTAAGTGTTTAAATAACATTGCAGAAGCCAAGGGACTTGTGGCAAACTGTAACTGTTAACCCTGTTAGAATAGTTACAAGTAATATTAACCCTACTATTGATGTGCATGCTGTTAACTGTAGCAGTTTGGAGAACAGTAATGGCAGTACTACCAGTTAACATCATCTGCACTGCAAGTTTTAGTATCACTGTACTAGTAAAGGAAGTATTTCTGTGAGCAAATGAAGCCAGCTTTCCTACAGATTTGAACGTGAAGGCTGTCAGGTTTTAGGCTGAATTGTACTAACACAGCTCACCACACAAGCAGCTCACGTTCTGACTTAACAGCAGAGTCCCCAGGAGAAAGACTGACCCTGTGGATTATGTTCTTTAATGTCCGTCTGCCCAGACAAGAATTCCAGTTCTGCGAAGCTTGGAGTGTTTGTAACCTCTTCTATCCTTTGGGAGATCTAAAGTCTAAAAGTCTGCTGTGCTGCCGTCTTTTTGCTTTAGCACAGAGATTAAGGGGATCTTTGTATAGTCAGATTAATTTAAACAAAATTTTCAGAAGTTGATATTGTGATTCCTCTATCGAATTTGAATGGAATTGGCCACTACTCAAGACCCGTTATAAAGTGGGGACACAAAGGGCTGTGTAAGTTTGGTTTTTTTTTTTCTCTGTAGGAAGAGTGAGAGAAGTTAAATTAAAACCTGTTAGAATTGTAGAGTGCACTGTGTAAAACAGGTATTTTATTCTTCCTTATCAGTGCTTTGTTCTTGGTTATCTTTCAATGGTTTAAATAATTGCGTGGTTATCATGTGTGGGTGGAGGGGAGGAATCTGTCTGATAAGCACTGTGAGTTTGTTTGAAGTTTTTTCCTGCCTGTTTATGATTTCACCTCTCTTTGTGCATAGCTGCTTGGTTTTTTGTGGGTTTAGTTACTTTTCTTTGTTGCAGTGCAATAAAGAAGTTTCATATAGTGCGATGCAGTAGTAGTAGAGATCTTTTCTGGATTTTCAGGTGCTGCAGGCCCACGACTATTTACAATACACCAGATTGATGCCAGCACTAATAATTTGCCGAAAGCTCATACCTGGTAAGAATTTTTCAGGCCTCTATTGTGATATATAGGTTAAGACCAACTTGATGTCTCTATATTTTGAGCTGTATTGTCTCTTTTTTTTTTCTTCCCCTCCTTTTCTGATGTAACAAATGCTATCTGTTACAGAGCAGTAGAGGTATGAAAACTAGAGATTGCTTTTATTTATATGAAGTTCCATTCACCTTGTTAAGTATTGCTTTGTCATTGTTTCAAGTACGTTAAACGAACCGCAACAAAATTTTGCTAGGTGATGCTTGAACTTCCAGATAACTGAAACTTTTCTGCCTTCTATCCACAGCTTTAACCGAATAGACATTCCTCCTTACGAAAGCTATGACAAGCTATACGAGAAGCTGCTAACTGCCATTGAAGAAACATGTGGGTTTGCTGTGGAATGACCCTTCACAGGCTTACCTGAGACTCTATTTATACTCCTGTCAGCCAGAAAGCCCTTCCCTCAGCCAAGACTCAAGAAATGCTTGAAATACAGGAAACTTTCCCTTTTCTACACTAGGACACTGGGAGGGAAAGGATAACTTTGGAATTTTTTTTTTTTTAATTATTTTTATTTCAAGAAAATAGGTTCTGTGGTTCCTACCATAGAATCATTCAGCTGCTATTAAAAAACTAATATCTTGAACATACAGAATGCTGACTTTTCCTACATTTCAACAGTTAAGCAGTATTCTATACTTAAAGACTACTACTATTTTTGTAAAAGGTAATCTATTATATTTGCCTACCTGATTTCTATTCTCAGATACCAAGACACAACTTCAGCAGTCGGTACAAGTCACATTTCAGCCTGTTTTAAATGTATGATACTGAACAGCATCTATACTTGCTATTTTTGGAAAAAATATTTTGGATTATTCTAACTTTGCGTAAAATTGGCTGAAAGAATCGTTAATCTTTTTAATTAAAGCCACTTACATGTTAACTGCATTTTCTTATAGTAAAACATTATATTCTGCAATATAAATTCAACTTAAATGTTACCACAGGGGGCTTTTTTTTATATTTTCGAAGCATGAATTACAAATACGATGTTTTGGGGTCCTATTTATATCACTGGTCAGATTCCTTAAGCAAAATTTCTAGTGTGAGTGACACATACTGTCTTTGGTACAGTACTTGTGTTAACATGTAGAATAGACCTTTTTTAATGAACAGTAGACATTTTGATTTTTTTAAAACAACATTTTTCTAACAAGTCTGTCAAGAGTATTTTTTGTTGCTTTTGACTTTAAATTTAAACACTGCATTTTTCAACTTTTTAACCATGCTGATGAGGTGATATTTGACAGCAGAAGCCTGTCAGCAGTTTGTTTCAGAACCCATCCTGTCCAGTCAACCAAAGTTTGTTTGAATGCAGCCAAATCATATTATATATTTGTTGATGCTAAAGATTTATCAGGTAAAACATGTTGTAATCTTTGTCTAGCTGCTCACGACATGTGGGCTTAAGTTACAACTAAGGAAAAATGGTGTATTAACTGAAATATGTGTAATGTGCTTTGAAAATGAGGTTTTAAAAGCACATAATTTATTGATTGTAGGGATGGAAGTAAGTATATATATGAATTATAACATGGGTTGATCTCTTCAAAGGGGAATAAAATGCACTACCAGTAGAGGGAACTGAACTTTTTGAAGTTAGTTTGGGAATTCTCAGTTAAGATCTGTATGATCTGCTCGTGGTGTGTAGATAAATCAGTCTGCTTAAGAGATGGTGGCATTCTCCTCTCAGTGGTGAGAATATTTGGAATAAGTAGCGTTTTTTTTCCAATCAGTGTTGTGTTTCTTTAACTTAGGTTACAATTAGTCATCAAATCTGCACTATTTTTACACTGCCAATGAGAAGAAAGTCAAGGGTATTGAAAATGCTAAAGGAATGGGATGTAAACAGCTGTTCCATTTTTGCAGCGTAAGTCACACAGAACTAGCTAATTTTCTGTCTGTTCTATGGAGCTTGAACTTAATTTTGTTCTGCCAAATCTGACTGCCACAGTGAGTAAACTACTACTGGATGTTGTGTATTAGAATAGCAGGCAATGGACTACTTTTGTAGAATTGTGGTAAGAATCTGGTGAGCCAAATCCACATGTTCATTTGATTATTTTTTTTTTTGTACAGCTGTTGCTGGAAGGTTTGTTCTAAGAGACTTGCTTCCCATTCTGGGCTGGCTGCAGAGATGAGGCTACTTAGGGATGTAAACATAAAGCCAAGAAACTTGCTTTGACAGCCAGGTTTGAAATATATCAGACCCTTTTTTTGCTTCATTTCAAGGGACTATTGCACTCATGTAAAATGGCTGGTACCTTTGCATCTACAGTTGGGATCCCTATTTCACGGCTTTCAGGTAATACTCTTACCAGAGAAACTACCACTATAACTGTCCAGGTTGCCTGGGAGAGCAAAGTAGGTTGTTGCCCCGTGTGTTTCTTGCTCAGTACTGCTGCCTGTGGTTGGGACCACTGCTTTAGACACTCCCAAAGACCTCTTCTCACCCCTCCAAGTTTTGAGGTATGATGTGAATTGCAATTTGCAGAGATTTTACAGAGACAGGTTCTTCTGACCACTGTTCACAGGACAGGGACTCCAGTGTTCTATGACTCACATATATATTTTTTTTTAACCTTTTTTTTTACCCCCTGCTCTTGCTCAGGCTTATGGCTGCAGCCTCCCTGATCATGAAACATGAAAAATGTAAAATCCTGTTTGATCCAGCTTTCAAAAGTCAGGACTTCGTTAGGCAATTCCAAGGGGAAGGGATGCTGCTGTTCCCGTTGCACCAGGCAGCTCACCTCAGCACTATTCAAAGACTGTCTCTGTAGCGTCTCCTGACCATGTCATCTGTACCCACCTCCCAGGAACCTTCTCCCTGTCAGCCCACTTAGGCTGGTAAATCTTTGAATGTGTAGTTATGGCCACCCTTATGTCATCAAAGCGTTTTTGAGGAGGGAGGAGATGAGCTCTGCAGAATATAGACTCTAGATCAGCTGATAAATACCATTCATTTTCACAGCAGCCTTAGCAGTACATCTGTTTGTTCTACCAAACAGTTTGGTATGGCATAGAGAATTTTTTTAACTGCCACAGATAAATATTGTAAATTTTTAATATATTATAGGCAAAACTAGACAAATCTGCATTTGACTTTCCATAGCTGACAGATGAGGATGAATATACCAAGTATTCTGAGTGCCTTTCTACCTTCGTAATGACTGAGAGCTTTAACTAAAGCACCTCATCACCTAGTCAGATGTTTATCTGAAAATGTTAAAGGGTTGATTCCTTTGCAAAATTTAGTTTTAAGATCATGTCAGCTACTTTCCCCTCAAAAAGGTGCTAAGCCTAATATTGCATTTTAACCTTGGACTTTCACCCCATGATTAATGTGAATATTTATTTCAATGTGTCCCTCTTACTGGGTTTTACTTTATCCAGTCTTTAGTTGTTTTAGAGAGATGTCACATCATGGTTTTATGCTGTTGCTTTTCATTATGAATGTTTAATTATGAACAGTGACTTTTGTAGATTACAAATATACAGTACACAGTTGAGTTTCAGAGGATTTAATTTCTCGGTGTAAAGAGTTTTGTAATGGTGCTTTGTACAGTATGTATTCTAATTTTTTTGCACATAGTTTCAGTTTCCCTAAACTGATTTATTTGTACCAAATTTTTGTGTTGTACTAAAGTCCAGAGCACACAAGCCGTTTTTAAATTCTTGTTCTACAACACTACATCTGTATTGAACTTCTGGTGCGTTTAAACTGGCTGCATTGATGGAAGTAAAAGCTTTGCTTCTATATCATAAGTATGCATCATACAGCTTAATGTAGCATGCTCCAATTGCTTCAGATTTTAAACAGCACCACATAGTTAACAGGTGCCATTTGTTGTACTTTACACTATGTAGTAGGTTTCTGGCTCTACCACATCCTCAGAGCTTTGTTTGTAGTTGTAATTAGTTTATACAAGTGTAATTACTCCTCCACAAACTGACAGTTCTTAGTTTATCATTTCCATTGTATTTATTACAGAGTGTTTTAGCATTGATATCATTGTATTTTCACCCAGCTGTTACATGAGCTTTAACAAAAAAAAAATCTGTATAAAATGGTTTTTAAGTACTTAATGTATGTACCCATGCAGAAGTTGAGCAATAAATTGTATGCTGTTTGCACTGTCACAGCATCAATGGTTTTAAAAGTTTTAAGTTTTTCTTAAATATTTAAAATGTAACAATATAACTTTTTAAGTAACTTAACTTTGTTTCAGGAGAAAAGACTTAAAACTTGATGTCTTTCTACATGCTGTTACCTACAATAAGGATGGTGCTAAATGTTCTAGTCAAACAAAAAAGGTCTTACTTTTGGCTTTCATGCAATGGTGTACATGTGTCTTGGCAAGGACTTTCTCTCTGCATTGGTGAACGGATGTCTCCTTTCAAAATTCAGGAAAGCTAAACCATCTTCCTTAAGGGAAGAAAAAGGGTAAATAAATTTGGTAAATACTTGTTAAATTTGATCAACTTAGCTGGTAAATATTTTCCCTTAGATAAAGACTTCACATCAGCCTGGCTTAGAGCAACTCCCTGGAAATAGTTGTTAAGAAAGTCAGGGTGTGGGTTTCTGGTTTTGTGGAGGTTCTTTGTTGTGTGTGGTTTGGGTTTTGTGAAGTGAGGTGTATCATACTGTAACTGCCAGCTGGTTTGGGGTTTTTTCTTTAATCTGTAAAGGAAGCATCTCTGCTGCTGGGAGCTTTTTTTTTTTTTTTTTTCTGCTTAGCTCTCTTTTCTTCCCAATGCATGACTCTTAATTCACTGAGTGCATTTTCAGTAACAGACACCATCTTGGAGCAAGCTTTAAATATTGTACACACTATACAATTAATTCTAGTATATTCATATCACTTCTCACACACGCAACTTTAAGCAAGAACTCTTCTACTAGAGCCTGCTTAAAATTACACTTTAGTTCATCCTCATTACCAAGATAAACTATTTAAAAAATTGTAGTTTTGTCAAGCACAGGAGAATGTCAGTAATGTGCTTCTACTAATTGTCAGCTTGGGTTTATGTCATTTGTTCTCAGTTTAAGTATTCATCCCTGTGTTTGCATCTCATAGGGCCCATAATGCATGGCTGCTGAAACTTGAATTTTCTACTACACAATGTATTGTTTATAGCACATGATGAGTCTATAAGGATAGGTGTGGTATCTATTGTCAGCTCCTATTCTGCCTAGCAGCAGACCTTACAACCTGTAGTATGGTAAAAGCTGAATGTTGGATTTTTTTAATGACTACTTACTCTTGCTTCACACTGACAGAACTAGAACTAATCTGCTTCTCCCTAAAAAAAAAAAAAACTAGCCAGGGTACTAAATACA